TCAGTCGAGGCATTGAACATAAGAGCAGGGAGATTATGAAGGACCTGAACAAAACTTTGATTGGCCACAGCAGGAGTAGTGTGCGCAGTTCTGGTCTCCACACTAAAGGAAGGATGAGATTGTACAGGAGGGAGGGAGTGCACAGGGGATTCACAAAAATGATTGTGAATGACTCTAATCCTGGAAAGTGTGAAGTGATTGACTTGGAAGGTACAAGGCGAAGGAGTATATGATAAGCGTTAGAATCCTATTAAGTACAGGGGATCAGAGGGACCTTACTGCGCTCATCCAGAGATTCGAGAAAGCAGCAGGATAGGTAGTTAAGGTGATTAAGAAAGCATATGGGATTCTTGCCTTTATTAGTTAAGGCATTAAATACAAGAGCAGGGAGGTTGTACTGGAGCTGTTAAAAGCAGTACTGGGAGTGTGCAGTTCTGCTGACCATACTTTAGGAAGGATATGATTGCCCTGGAGAGTATGCAGAGGAGATTCATGAGGATGCTGGATAGCCGGAACATTTCAGCTAATGGAGACTGACTACCATAGGCTGGGGCTGTTCTCCCTTACAGCAGAAAGACTGAGGAAGAAGCTGTTTGAAGTGTACAAAATTTTCAAGGTCATAGATAGAGTAGATAGGAAGATACTTTTCCCACTAGTGTAGAAGGTCCCTAGTTAAAAGGGCAAGATGTTTCAAACGGATTTGAGGAAAAGCTTTTTCGCCCAGACAGTAGTGGGTGGGGTAACTGGACTTCACTGCCTGAAAGGATGGTAGAAGCGAGAAGCATCACAACATTTAAAAAGCAGTTACAGGAACATCTGATGTTTGAAATGCTATAACATTCAAGACCACTGGGCAAGTGCTAGAAAATTGGATTAGAGTAAATTGCTATTTTAATAGCCAGCACAGACTCTCTCTCTCTCTCTTTTACAATGAGACTGCTGGAAAGCTGGAATAATTTGGAACTCATTCTTTTAATGCTGAGTAAAATGGGCCTAAGTTGTCTGGAGTTAAGAAGGAAAGGTGATTTCATTAAAAAAACTGGAAGATTCTGAAGGTACTAAACAAGTGGACACAAACTGCTTCTGTTGGTTGAGAAATTTAGAAGATGGGGTCATAGTCAAAGTAAAAGAGGTTGATCAGATGATTGTACTAGAGTGTGCAAGGAGATTCACCAGGATGTTGCCTTTCAGCTTTCGAGAGAGGCTGGATAAGCTCAGACTGTTTTCTTTGGAGCAGAGAAGTTTGAGGTGCACTTTATTGAGGTGTATAAGATTATGAGGGGCATGGAAAAGGTGGATAGAAAGCAGTTGTTCCCCTTCGCCAAAGGGTCAATAACAAGGGTGCTAAATTTTAAAGTGAAAGGCAGGATCTGAGGAAAACCTTTCACCCAGAGGGTGGTGAGGTGTCTGGAATACAGTGCCTGGGGCAGTAGTTGAGGCAGGAAACCTCGCTACTGTTACAAAGTTAGGTAGAGTAATTGTGAAGTGGAAGACATGAAGCTAAACTGTGTGGTTCCTTTAAGAGATTTGTGCTTTGTCTGTACTTAGAATTTTTCAAAAAAAATACCTCTCTGAGCAGCAGCTGATGTTGCCAGCACAGACAGCCTCAAAAAGTGAAACAAGTGTATCAAAAAAAAAATGCCTTACAGGTGACAGGCTAGCAGTCTTGTTTTGATGTTGTGACGAGTTTGAATTCAGCCAATTAACTTAAACGAAGCACCTAGATACAGAAAGCCAATTGAATTTCAATCGGATGGTGTTGACAACCCAAAACCAATCATATTACAAGAACTTGATTATGTCGTTACAGGTATTTGGAAAATCGGGGAGAGTCATCTGCCATCTGAAAGAGAAACTCATCCGCCACCTGCCAGAGTTAGCACCATTCAGCTCTCAGAGAAACCCCATCTAATTAATCAAGGTACCACAGAATTTTAGCTCAAAGTCCACACAGAAGAAATTACAGAGAGAATTAACGGAAGAAACATGATTGTGAAGAGATCAGAGACGACAGAATATTCCAGAAGACAGTTAGTGCGAACTTAGAGAGGTTAAGTCATAATTTATTGCTTCTTATTATTTAGGTTTATATTAGTGGGACTTGTCTTTATTTAAACAGCATTCCAGCAGAAATTAGATGAGTTAGGGAGTAGTGAGTAGTCCAAGGGGGAATTGTCAGTTTGTTAGTAATTTCGTTAATTTGTTCATTGTTGGATTAAATAAATAAATTGTTTCGTGTTACTTGAAAACTGGAGATCAGGAATTGTCTTTCTTTTAACCACGCTTTTAACAGATTACGAGGGAAAAGACGAGCTTCTCGGTGTTTCGGGGATAATTATTAGAGGGGAATGCCTACTCTTGTCATAACAGATCAGGATTTGTGTTTTAGTTTAATCATCAGAGGGGTTAGGCCATTCCCTGTCATAACACTACCTTTAAAATATACTTGGATGAGGATTTGAAATGTCATAACATTGAAGACTATGGGCCTCACATGGGAAAGTGGGACTAGTGTAGGTAGTGGGGTATTTTTTTGGTGGAAAAGACTCAATGGGCCAAAGGGCCTCTTCTGTACAGTATAATTTTGTGACTGAAAGGAAAAAAAAATTCTTCACCCAAAGAATTGTGACTCGTTGAAGTTCCCAGAGAGTTGTGCATGTTCCATAAACGATTACATTTAAGGTCAGTATAGATTGATCCTTGGTTTCTCAGGGAAACGTGGGACTCAGACGATGAAATGAAAGATCAACCACGATCACGTGAAATTGGGGACAGGATTCAATGGGCCACATGGCTGACTACTGTGTCTATTTCCTGTGTTCTTATAAACTTCTACTAGGGTCGCCACTCAACTGCCTGAATTCCAGTGAAAACAAATCCAGTCTATCCAACCTTTCTTCATAGCTAAAATCCCCCATACCAGGCAACATCCTAGTAAACCTTTTCAGTCCTCTCTCCAAAATATCCATATCCTTCTGTTAGCATGGTGACCAGAACTGTACGCAATATTAAGCTTGCTCAGAGTATTTTGTCAACATGTGAAATTGTGTAGAATATATTACTCAGCCATCACTCAGCAGATTCAGTTCCACAAAATATGAAAGGCTACTTGCTTTTATCCACAGTAAAGAAGAAAATCTTGACATCCACATAAAGAAACAGGCATTCCAATTTTAAGTAATGACATGATGGATAGCAAAAAGGGAATGCTAATTTCCTGTCTAATTTTAGGTTCTTACGCCACTTTTACAAGTATTTTAGTGAAGGCCTCTCAACAGAAGGCCATCCATCGTTTAAAGAACAGAGAATTGATAAACATTACAGAGCCTATCAATTTGTCAAAGCAAAAGTTTATGCTACAAGGAATAGCTTTTTTAATGCAAAAAATTGTGATTTTAAAGAATGTAACTTATTCAAAAGATGCATGTGTAACATTATTAATAATCCTCAACCTCAAATACTAATACAGACAATTCAGCAGCTTGTCAATGGAGCTTTAAATGGACTGTGAAACGAAGCTGTATTCTGCAAGCAAGGAAGCCGGGGGGGGGATCATTATTAACTAGCTAAAAACAAATGCATATTTGTGCAAGAGACCTGTTTTTATCTACAAAGCAAAAGAAGACCCAAAACACTAACTCTCTGATTTCTCTCCACAGATGCTGCCAGACTTGCTGCGCTTTTCCAGCAATTCTGTAGTTTTTATTAAGAATATGATCACAACTGGTGTGGTATCAAAAAGTCTCTCTCTTGTGGAACGCTTGCCCTTGGCAACTGTGACATGGTCCAAAATTGGCAGATTTGGTGTGATGCTGCACCATTCAAGAATTAAAAGTACAACTGTGCAAAAATAACCAAATAAAATCAAAACACACAAATACAAGTGCATGAATAATAAATTGAAATAAAGTCCGTATTACTATTAATTTGCTTGTTTGCAGGATGTGGTCATCGCTGGCTATGCCAACATTTATTGCCTGTGTCAAGATAGAAAGAACTTGTCTAAATTCTCCAGTCATTCAATCATTTTACAAAATAACATACAAATGGAAAGAAAAATGAAATCATTCGCCAATGCAGCTTTCATCTTTCATAAACTGATCCAGCAGCAGAAGTATTTCATTAGGTGTCAGCTGTGGGTCACTTGGAAGCATTCTCATCGGAGTCAGATAGTGATGGTTCAAATCCTACTCCAAAGAATAAAGTGAAAAATCAGGGCAAGTGTTGAATTTCAGCTAAAAGAAGTAGCACCATTTCAAAGGGCAATGAGACAGTTCTTGCCAATGTCCCGGCCAATATTTAAAGCATCAATAAAACAGATTATTTGATGATTATTATATTGGTATTTCTTTCAGCATTATGATGCACAAATTAGAGCTGCATTTCCCACATTACAATGCTGACTTATTCCAAAATTTAAGAAAGCAACAACCTACATTTATGCAGTGTCGTCATTATATTTAAATGTCCCAAAGTGCTTCGCAGGAGCATTATCAAACAAAATTTGGCATCAAGCTATGAATAACGTTAGAACAGATGACCAAAAGTTTGCCCAAAGGGGTAGATTTCAAGGAGTGCCTTGAAGAGTGAAGGTAGGTAAGTGTTAAAGTAGGAAATTACAGAGTTTGGGGCCAAGGCTGCTGAAGGGACTGCCAGCAATGGTGGAGTGATTGAAATCTGCAAGGCACTTGAGGCCAGAATTGGAAGTGTGCTCATATCTGAAAAGGTTTGTAGAGCTGCAGGTAGTGACAGAGATAAAGGGGACTAAAACAATGAAGAGATTTAAAAACATGTTGAGAATAAAATTAAAACCTTCGTGGACCAGGAGGGAATTCAGATCAGTGGACACAGGAGTGATGGTGAAAATAGACTTGGTAGAAGTTCAGATGTGGGCAGCAGAGTTTTCAATGAGCTCGAGTTTGTGGGTGATGGAAGACACTTTGGGATGTCTGACATCTTCCTCATATCAATCCTTCTTTCTATCTGATAACAATCAATGAGCTCAGATGTGCATTTAATGTTGATAAGGAGAAGGCAGAGTGACGGACAAGATCATTCCCATGATGTTGCGTTCTGTGAAGAACAGGAAAATGCTGGAGTCCATTATTAGGGAAGAAATAGCAGGACAATTGCTTAATGCAATCAAACATAGTCAACAAGGTTTTGTCGCAGAGAAATCGCATTTGCAAATTGCTACACTTCTTTGAGGATATAACAAGCAGAGTTGATAAAGGGGATAAAACTTGATGACAACATAAAATTGATAAACTCAGCTCCTGATCTCATCACAATCTTGGTCCATATATGGGCAAAAGAGGTGAGATGAGAGTGAATGTCCTTAACACAAAGGCTGCATTTGACCAAATGAGCCATCAAGGAGCTCTAGCAAAACTGGAGTCAATGGGAATCAGGGGGAAAACTCTTCCCTGGTTGAAGTGATACCTGGCACAAAGGATGATTGTTGGGGTTGTTGGAGGAATATCATCTCAGCTTCAAGACATCTCTGCAGGAATTCATCAATCATCTTCAGCTGCGTCATCAATGACCTTCCCTCTATCATAACATCAGAAGCAGAGATGTTTGCCAACAACTGCAAATTGATCAGCATCATTTGCAATTCTTCAGAAACTGAAGCAATCCTTACTCAAATGCAGCAAGACCTCATCAATATACAGGCTTGGGCTAACAAGTGATAAGTAACATTTTCTCCACACAAGTCAGGCAATGGCCATCTCCAATAAGAGAAAATCTACCAATCACCCTTGACTTGCAATGGTATCATGGTGACCGAATACCCCACAGTCAATATCCTGAGGGTTACCATTGAGCAGAAACTGAACTAGTCATAAAAGTTCTATGGCTACAAAAGCAGGTCAGAAGCTAAGAATTTTGCAGGGAGTAATTCACCTCCTGACTTCCCAAAGCCTGTCCAGCAGCTATAAGGTGTAAAGAAGGAGTGTGATGAAACACTCTCCACTTTTCCAGATGAGTGCAGATCGAACAACACTCAAGAGGCCTGCCACCGTTCAGGACAAAGCAGCCCACTTGATTAACACCACATTCAAACATTCAAACCATCCACCACTGCCGGTCAGTAGTGGCAGTGCATATTATCTGCAAGATGCACTTCAGAAATTCACCAAGCCTCCTTAGACAGCACCTTCCAATCCCATGGCCATGTCCATCTATAAGGATCAGGGCAGTAGATACATAGGTACACCAACACCTGCAGGTTCCTCTTCAAAATAGTCACTATCCAGATTTGGAAATTTCTCGCTGTTCCTTCAGTGTCAATGAGTCAAAATCCTGGAATAACCTTCAACGGCATTGTGGGTGTACCTACACCAAATGGACTGCACTGGTTCAAGGCCACTAACCACTAACTTCTCAAGGGCATCTAGAGATGAGTAACAAATGTTAGCCTAGTGATGTCCACATCTCAAGAGTGAAACAAAAAAGGTCGTGTATAGCCATTAGTGCAGTTCTTTGTATTTTTCTTGGATTTGCTTGGCCGTAAAGTTCATTGCTATGATTTTGATTTGATTTATTATTGTCACATGTATCTAGGTACAGTGAAAAGTTTTGTTTTGCATGCAGTACAAGCAAATCATACCATATAAAATAAATAAGGGTAACAAAAGTGACGAATACAATGTTACAGCTGCAGAGAAGGGGCACAAAGAGTGAGAGTGACTTAATGCCTCTCGACGGTTGAAAACTATGTTACCATTTTAGGAACAGCTCTTGATATTTGGAGATTTGGGGCAGACAGCAGTAAGATTCCTCCAAATTTACTGTAATTGGACTGGTTTCATTTCTTGACTAAAATCACAATCACAGGATCCCCAAGATAGTTGAGAGGCAGCAGGTGGTGCAACTGTGCCTGGAGTGCATCTCCACATTGCGTCAGAATTTTGGTAGGGATTCCAACTGTTACAGAGGCTTTGCTGTTTGTCAGCAGTTGAACAGCTTTGTCAATTTCAGTTTGGACAGTCCTAGGTACTTCAAAGCTATCCCTACAATGATCATGAATTCCTCACAAAGAGGTATTCATGTGATGAATTTGACTGATGCAGTTCTATCACAGAAAATAATCCTTCATAATGACATGCTCGAACAACATACTGCACACCTTCCACCTCAGTGTCCCATACAGAGCAACCTTCCTGATCTACCAGCAGGTAGCCTGTGGATTGAAGAATGCAAAACACGGGACCATCTAGTTCTTCGTGAAAAAGCCTGTATGTCAAACGCCCAGCATTGGACTCGCACGGCAAAAGTGGTCCTTGCTAAAGAAGCCTGAGCCCCTGACCAGCCAATCTTCAATGCTGGGGCTCAGACCAAAACCCTTATGCACTTATGGAGAGACACAAGCAACACTGCACTTTACCAAGGAGTGTTCCCTTTACAGACTAAGTGGCAGCCTAATCACCTTCAACTCGGCAAATGAGGTCACAATCATTTGTCTCCAGGGTTTTTCATTTGCTAAATCTATAAGCTAATCAATAAATTGCTACAAATGTAAAAAACTTAAAATGTACAATTGCAACAACAAAAATTTTTCTGACCAATATCAGCATAATAAAAGGTAAAGAAAACATATACAGCAGTTTTAGCTCAAACCAAAAGCTAATCTAACTTCAGAAAGCAGTTGAGAGCTTGATCAAAAATAGTAGGGCAGAAGTTGAGCAGAGAAAATAAGAGATACCCAATGAAAATAGGATTGTCAACATTTGAATAAATTCAATTGTTGAAGGAGGGAATGAATTAATCTTGTCACAACTCTTCAACTCTTGCTCACTTCATGTCAAAATACATGGCAGATAATTCAAGGCAAGATATGATCACACTGTGTTTGTTCAAGAGACATCTGCAAAACTATATGTATCTCTTAAAGATATGGAGGTGCTGGTGTTGGACTGGAACGAACAAGGTCAGAAGTTACATGACAACAGGTTATAGTCCAACAGGTTTATTTGAAGTCACAAGCTTTCAATCGCTGCTCCTTCATCAAATGAAACTTCATCTGATAAAGCTGCGCTCCGAAAGCTCGTGACTTCAAATAAACCTGTTGGACTATAACCTGGTGTTGTATGACTTCTGATCTTGTATATATTAAACAGGAGAAAGCAATTCAAGGAAACAAATAGTATCACGCTGCATTTGTCCAAGAGACATCTTAACAAATATATGAACAATTCTTAAGAGATCGCTTTTACTCTTCAACATATACAAATTTTTTATCATCTTGTGCAGATTCCTCAATGTTCTTATAAATCCCTTCTGAGTACAGCAGTCATTATGAATTTTCAATTGGTATTAGGGAAAACCAGTTGAATTTTTACAAGTTCACATTTCAAAAATGAAATACCAGGCTCATTAATCATTTCAAATCTCTGAAACCTGGCTGACACAAGTCTTTACATTTTCACCACTGAAATCATTCAGCTTTACAGGCAAAAGTTAACTTAAAAGACTTATAATGCTAAATTTATGAAAATCAAAACAGCTATTTAAGTGAGCAAAACAAATAATGGAGACATTGATCTTAATTAGGAGCTTTATTCTGTAACCCAATGAAGAGATATTTGATGAATGACAGGTGTTGGTTTAAGTTGTTTTAAAATATATCCCAAAAGTAACTATTTCAAGAAATCTTTGTAGGTGGCCAAGTGGAGAAGCATACTTACCTTTCAACTATTGTATATTTTTATATATCAAATATGCCATTAAAAATCCTTTGGGTCACCTTCTGTTTCACGCTGAAGTTTGTTCCTTCACAATGTACTCTGATTAGTATACAAGATATTCTTGATATCTCTTGATCTAAAACATGCTTACTGTGCCACAGTGGTTTTAAGAAATTCTGAACAACAAAACAAATTGTGGGTTGAGAAATATTTCATGTTATGAATATTCTGAAATAGTTTTATTTATAACCTTGAAAGATGCTTCTATCTTCACAGCAGTAGACAAATTACAATAAAACTGGTTGATTGGTCTACAAATCCAGACAAATATACTCAAAATGTATCCTCATTCAGAAAATCCAGCTGAGCACTTTACAAAGGAACAACAAGAGGGTTTTCAGCCCCAAAGCCTGTTCCATCATTCGATTAGGTTGTTGTTTAAATAAGCATCAACAAAACTGCATTGAAATTACCTTCATGAATTTAGACCAAATTCCACTTCCTATCTCAATCACACTACTGAGATAGTATAGTTTATCAAACATGAAGATAAAAATAATTGTAATCATTCCTTTGTATTTTCCAAATACCGAATAATCTGCTGGGAGATAGATATACATAAAATGATCCTTTATCAGAGTACCTCGTAAATGAAAAGTTAATTTTGAGGAAAACTACATCCAAATTGTTCTTGAAAATGACAGAAGTGCACATCGCATCTTTTATCATACAGGCCAATTGTAAAAGCCTCTATAGATATGTGACAAGAAAAAGATACAGTCCATTAGTCAGAAACAAAAGAATTTATAAAGGGAATAATGAGATGACAGACCAATGAAATACTTATTTTAGTTCTGACTTCACAAAGACAACACAAAAACATCGGGTAAGTCAGGGTCTAATGGAAAGGAGAAACTTAAAGAAATTCGCATGAGTAGGGAAAATGGTGCTGGGGAAACTAATGGGATTACAAACAGGTAAATACCCAGGGCCTGATAAGATTTATCCCAGAGTATGGCAGAACAGTGGCTCAGTGGTTAGCACTGCTGCCACACAGCACAAGGGACCCAGGTTCAATTCCAGCCTCAGCTGACTGTGTGGAGTTTGCACATTCTCCCTGTGTCTGCATAGGTTTCCTCCGGATGCTCCGGTTTTCTCCCACAATCCAAAGATGTGCAGGTTAGGTAGATTGGCTGTGTTAAAATTGCCCATAGAGTCCAGGGATGCACAGGCGAGGTGGATTAGCCAGTGGAAATGTGGGGTTACAGGGACAGGGTAGGGGAGTGGGTCTGGGTGGGATGCTGTTTGGAAGGTCAGTGTGGGCTTGACAGGCCAAATGGCCTGCTTCCACACTGTGATTCTATGATTTGATGAGTAAGTCAG